TTATAAAGAAAATTTTTTATTTGGGGAATTAGCCTAAAATGAATGAATATTAGGGAAAATGTTGGAATGAAACTACATGACTCTAGCAGAAATGACATTAGGAGCTATGGATAACTGAGTATTAAGTTTTAAGCTTTAAGGCATTTTATGGTAAGACAAGGTTAAATAAATTAAGGTAATTTGAAGAACAGAATATGGGGAAAGATGGAAAGGATCTGTCGAGTCAATTAATAGGTTAAATTGATAAGATAAATTATTTAATAAAAATTGAGAAAAATGGAAAGAATTTGCTGAAATAACTAACTAAACTAGAATACAAAAAGGGAGGTGTGAGGAGGTCAATGAAACAAGCAAACGGAAGTTGGAGATATGTAATCCGGGATTTGTGTCTTTTTTATTTTCTTTTTTGTCATATTGTTGTATTGGTTTTTATGTTTTTATGTTTTTGCGTTTTTCTTTTTTTTTCTTTTTTTCTTTTCTTTTTATGTATTGCAGTTGTTCTTTATTCTTTTTTTCTTTTGTAATTCCGAAATTATTATAAACATTATTTTTTTAAAAAAAACAATCTCTGTAGCACCTCCCTGACGTCTCTGACGTCTTGCCTTTCATCGTCCGAATAGATTAAGACATCATCCAAAAAGGCTATGCAGTTCTTGTACAGCAGGGGCCCCAACACATGGTGTATGAAGGCTTGAAAGCAGGCTGAGCCCGATTGTAATCCAAATGGCATCACTAAGTACTCAAAAGCCCCCAGGGGGGTGAACATGGTCGTTTTCCATTCGTCCCCCTCCCTTATCCTGATCAGATTGTATGCTCCCCTGAGGTCCAGCTTGGTAAAAATCTTTCCCTGCCTCACCTGTGTCAAAATATCGTCAATCCTGGGCATTGGGAAAGTCACGGGTTCTGACACCAGGTTTAGGGCCCGGTAATCCACGATTAATCTAGGCTGATTAGTCACTTTCTTGTCCACAAAGAACACTGGACTGCCCCCCACTGCCTTAGATTCCCTTATGAAACCTCTCTTCAGGTTCTTGTCAATAAACTGCCGCAGCTCCTGCAGCTCCCGGTCGGACATGGCATACAGCTTACCCACTGGTAATTGAGCCCCTGGAAGCAGGTTGATTTGGCAGTCAAAGGGCCTGTGGGGGGGGGCAGTCTGTCTGCCTCCCTCTTGCTGAAGACCTCCTTCAAATCAGCCCTCCCAGACAGTGTTCTGAGCAGTAAGCTGACCCAAAAGTGACCGACCGCTGATGCCATGACACCACCGGGTCATGTAGTGCCAGCCAGCTCATTCCCAGTATTATTGGGGGTCCTGCCAGCGTGGCCACGTGAAAGGCAATGGTTTCCGTGTGCCTAGCAACCCTCATTCGCATTGGCGGTGTCTGGTGTGTCACTTCCCCTCCCAGGCGCTCCCTGCCATCAATGGTGGTCACCTGCAGGGGAAAATCTAGTGGCAACAGGTGGAGTTGGTGCTCCAGAGCGAAGTCTCTGCTGAAGAAATTACACGAGCTGCCAGAATCTAGCAGTCCCTACACCTTGACGGGGTGCCCGTTTGGGAGTTCTAGCACCACCTCTATGGCTACCGCTGCCTTGGGGGGGGGTCAGGCTGGGGCACTTCTATTGGTTGCTGACCTGGCTGCTGGCCCCGCTGGTTGGCAGCCAGGCGTTGGCGTTTCCCTGCGCCTGCCCCTCCTCCCCCCTCTCGTCGTGGCCTGCAGCCCCCATCATGCCTTGCCAGGCCTTTCGTTGAGGGCAGACCTTTGCAAAATATCCCGGTCGCTGACAGAGGAAACACTTCTTGGTAGTTTTCCACTCCTTTCCCTCCCTTTTCCTCCCTTCACCGGCGTTTGAAACTTCGCGCGCGAGCGCTGCATCAATTTCCATCGGCTCTGCCGCCTGGGAAGGCTCCCTTGGCATCTCAGGAATGCGGTTGTCATGGAAACGTTCCGCCCTTATCTCCCGCTTCTCCTGAGCCCGCGCTTCCTGGCGTACCCCGATCGCAAGCAAAGTCTTTGTGAGTTCATCCATCGACCGCGGGCGGGGCGCTCGGGATAATTCATCCTTCACTTCAGGGGATAAACCCCCCTCGAACAACATTTGCATAGGTTCAGAGCCGAGATCCCACCCGAGCTTGATGACTAACATCGCGAACCGCGACCAGTAGTTTCTGACGGACAGGCTCCCCTGCTTGCACCCCATCAGCTCCTGGCGTGTCACGCTTTGCTCAACCTCGCTGGAGTACATCGCGTCCATCGCCTGATAGAATTTCTTGAGATCTTTCAATGCATCATTTTGCGTCGCCATTAGGGGCCTGATCCATTCACGCGCCCCATCCTGCAGATGTCCCACAATGTAAGCCACCCTCTCCCCGTCATTGGCAAAGTCATCTTTCTGCAGTTCCAAAGCGTACTGGATTTCCAAGGGCCATTGAAAGAAACAGACTTAGATCAATTTTTGAAAACAAATGGATTACAAAAAATATCTCAAGAAAATAAATTAATGTTGAACTACAAAATAACTGAACAGGAGATAGAAGGTGCCATTCAAAATATGCAATTGGGTAAATCTCCAGGACCGGATGGACTGACTTCTAGATATTACAGATCCTTGAAAGAATGGCTAGTACAACCTTTGAAAGACGTCTGTAATGAAATAATGGAGGGAAAAGAGCACCAGAGTCGTGGAAAGAAGCATATATTACACTTGTACCGAAAACAGAGACTGAAAAGACACAGCTTAAGAACTACCGCCCTATATCATTACTTAATGTGGATTACAAAATTTTTGCTGACATTTTGGCCAAGAGATTTAAAAAAGTGTTGATGGAAGAGATTCATAAAGATCAAGCGGGCTTTCTCCCAGGAAGACATCTGTCGGACAATTTGAGGAATATAATTGATATTCTGGAAAAACTAGAAGTGAATATAAACACTAAAGCAGTTTTGATATTTGTGGACGCGGAAAAAGCCTTTGACAACATTTCTTGGAACTTTATGAAGAAGAATCTATAGGGCATGGGGGTAGGCCAAGGCTTTGAGAATGGTATAAGTGCAATTTATTCAGAACAAAAGGCTAAATTAATTGTAAATAATGTGGTGACGGAAGAACTTAAAATTGAAAAAGGGACACGACAAGGTTGCCCAATTTCCCCACTTCTTTTTATTTCGGTCCTGGAGGTTTTGCTGAATATGATTAGAAGGGACCGGTTGGTTAAAGGTATACAGGTCGGAGCTAAACAGTACAAATTGAGAGCATTTGCAGATGATGTAGTATTGACGTTACAGGAGCCAGAATCTAGTACTAAAAGGGTTTTAGAACTGATTCAAGAATTTGGTCAAGTGGCAGGATTCAAATTGAACAAGTTAAAAACTAAGGTTTTAGAGAAAAATTTAACACCGATTGAAAGAGAGAGGTTTCAGAATGAGACAGGTTTAACAGTGGTTAAGAAAGTTAAATACCTGGGGATTAACATGACAGCAAAAAATGGGAATTTATTTAAAGACAATTATGAAAAATGTTGGGCTGAAGTGAAAAAGATTTAGAAATTTGGTCAAATTTGAAGCTTTCACTGCTGGGCCGTATTGCTGCGATAAAAATGAATGTATTGCCTAGAATGTTGTTTTTGTTTCAAACTTTGCAAATTGTGGACAAAATGGACTGTTTCAAGAGGTGGCAGAAAGATATTTCTAGATTTGTCTGGCAGGGCAAGAAGCCCAGAATAAAATTTAAAATACTAACAGATGCAAAGGAAAGAGGTGGATTTGCCCTGCCAGACCTCAAACTTTACTATGAATCAGCAGCCTTTTGCTGGTTGAAAGAATGGCTGCTTCTTGAAAACACTGACATTTTGGACCTAGAAGGTTTTAACAATGTATTTGGATGGCATGCATATCTATGGTATGATAAGGTCAAAGCACATAAAGCATTTAAAAACCACATTGTCAGGAAAGCGTTGTTTAATGTATGGATAAGATACAAGGATTTATTAGAAAACAAAACCCCAAGGTGGCTGTCACCAATGGAAGCGAAAGCCTTGAAAAAGCTCAATATGGAGGTCAAATGGCCGAAATATTGGGAAATTTTGGAACAAGATGGAGATAGACTGAAATTGCAGAGTTTTGAAAAACTAAAAAACAAAGTGCGAGACTGGCTTCATTATTTTCAGATAATGGAGGCTTTTAAATTGGACAAGAAAATTGGCTTCCAGGTGGAAAAATCAAAATTAGAAACTGAACTGTTAGAACCCAAAACTAAGAATTTGTCAAGAATGTATAACTTGCTGCTGAAATGGAACACTCAGGATGAAACGGTGAAATCTGCTATGATTAAATGGGCACAAGATGTTGGACACAACATTATGTTCGCCGACTGGGAACAGTTATGGACCACAGGTATGAAATTTACGGCATGTAATGCCCTAAGAGAGAATATTATGAAAATGATATACAGGTGGTACATAACTCCAGTCAAGCTTGCAAAAATCTATCATTTGCCCGATAATAAATGTTGGAAATGTAAAGAAACTGAAGGTACATTTTTTCACCTTTGGTGGACGTGCCCAAAGATTAAGGCTTTCTGGGAAATGATATATAATGAATTAAAAAAGGTATTCAAATATACCTTCCCCAAGAAACCAGAGGCCTTTCTCCTGGGCATAGTCGGCCAAATGGTGATGAAAAAGGATAGAACTTTCTTTATGTATGCAACAATAGCAGCAAGAATACTCATTGCAAAGTATTGGAAGACACAAGAGCTTCCCACACTGGAGGAATGGCAGATGAAACTTATGGACTATATGGAACTGGCGGAAATGACTGGTAGAATCCGTGACCAGGGAGAAGAGTCGGTGGAGGAAGATTGGAAGAAATTCAAAGACTATTTGCTGAAACATTGTAAAATTAAAGAATGTTAGAGTGATGTTGGATTGAAAATAAGTGGCTTCCAGCTGTACAGGACTTAAAGTTATGGATAGATTAAGATTAAGGATTAGGATTAAAAAAGTTTAAGGAAATGGAAATTTGGTTTTTAAAAGGTAAAATTTTAATATTATATTATATTAAGAGTAAAGATTGGGATTAAAAAAGAGGGAAAGAAATTGCTGGACAAACAATTTGAACTGGAATACAAAAGAGGGAGGTACGAGGAGGTCCAGAAAATAAGTAAATTTAAAAATGGAGATGAAAAGGTGATATTGTTTTTAATTGTTCTATTTTCTTTTTTGTCTTTTGTGTTTTTTGTTCCTTTTTTTTCTTTTGGATTATGTATTGTGTATTTTTGAATTGTGTATTTCTTTTTTATGTTTTATGTTTAATCTTTTATTGAAACTTTAATAAATATCATTTAAAAAAAACAAAACAAACAAAGCGTACTGGATTTCCGTTCGGAATGCATTGTAGTCCTGGGGCTTTCCACCAAATTTGTGTACCAGCCCCTGAACCTTCCTCCCTATCGGGGTGGCTCTGACCTGTGCATCCTGAGCCCGTCTCTCCTCCAGCCGCGCCGTCAGGGTAGCAACATGCGCCTCCAGGTCTCGGTTCCTCTCTACCAGACCTCGCATCAAGGCTTCCTGCTCTGTTCCTCCGGCCGGCTCTGTTTGGCTCATCGTGCTGCCTCTCCGGTACTGCGCACAAGCAACGTCAAGGACTGATGGATTGCTGTAATGGTTCAAGGGGTTGCTCATGCGTAAGCCGGTGCCCACACCTGGCTGGGTTGCCTAAGTGAACCTTTTCTGTCCGGACAGCCACTCACCCGTGGCTGTCTCAATCGCTGGCAGAATCCGTCAGTGGGCGTTTCTTAAACTTCTTCCAGCAAAGAAGTTCTTTCACGCCCAGTCGCCTCTCCCAATCCCGTGACGCTCTCTGGGATCCCTCTGGAGCTCTCTCTCTCCCTCCGGCACTGATGGCAGTTCCCTGACAGTAACCTATTGTTTAGAAGCCTTCTTGGAACTACTATTTATTCTTTTTGTTTGTTTGTTTTTGTGCCAAAAGCAGACGTGTGGAGAATTTATAAGCCCAAACTTAACTGAACTGTTATTTATGTTAAGTCTTTGAACTCTTTTTGACGAAGAAATGAGTGGGGGAAGAAGTTATTTATCCACCCCTCAACATCCCCTGCTTCTGTCTTTTGATGATGTGGAATGTGGAAGGCATAGTGCGCGTCGCCATTTTTTTTGGAAGCGCCAGACTGTACTTGCTAAAATAATTTATTTTGTTCTTTCTTCTCTTTTTTTGTTTTTGTTTGTCCCTGGCTCTTTGCTTTTGTTTGGGCTTAATTGCTTTGGTGAAGGAAAATTGACTGTGTTTTTTTATACTCTCCCCCCCCTTTTATTATTTATTTTTAAATTCCTTTTCTTTTTCTTCTTGGATTTTTATGAGGACATATGATTTTTACTCTCCTTCTGATTTTTACTCCTTTCTTCACCTCTTTATGTTTTTTCTCTTTTACTTTCTGATTATTTTTTATATCTTACTTACTTTTATATTTTATTCTTTATTCTTTTCTTGCCCCTCTTTGAGCTAGTTCTGTACTTATTTCTTCCTACCTGTCTTTTCTTCTTTTTTATTCTTTCTTTTTCTTCTTTATTATTTTTTGACTTTGTATTTTTTATCATTTATTATTATGCTCAAATATGGAATATTGGATAATCTGCAAAAGTAAAGACTATTTTACCAGACTAAAAGTGGATTGGCCAGTCAAGAGGCAGAAAAGTGTTGATGTTACTTTGGTGGATTCCCTTCTTCCTCTTTGTGGATTATCGTTATAGTTGGTGGATTAGCCAAGCAAGTTGCAGGAAGATTTAAATTTTATTTTTTGGATATTATAAAGTTAAATTGGGAATTACAAAGATAAGAGAATGTCTCACGCACAGAAAAAAGTGGGTGAAGGCGCGACACCAGGGGAAAGAAGAGGATCTAAGCAAGAAACGGAATTTAAAGGAGATATATTAAAGATAAGGGATGCAGGTGGCGTTGTGGGTTAAACCACAGAGCCTAGGGCTTGCCGATTGGAAGGTCGCGGTTCGAATCCCCGTGATGGAGTGAGCTCCCGTTGCTCAGTCCCTGCTCCTGCCAACCTAGCAGTTCGAAAGCATGTCAAAGTGCAAGTAGATAAATAGGAACCACTCCGGCGGGAAAGTAAATGGCGTTTCCGTGCACTGCTCTGGTTCGCCAGAAGTGGCTTAGTCCTGCTGGCCACATGACCCAGAAGCTGTACACCGGCTCCCTCGGGCAATACAGCGAGATGAGCACCGCAACCCCAGAGTCGGTCACGACTGGACCTAATGTTCAGGGGTCCCTTTACCTTTACTTTTATATTAAAGATGTTTGCTGAAATAAAGAAAGACATTAAACTGTTGCAAAGATTTTTAGTAATGGTACCAACTCAAATGGAGTCAAAAAATTGACAGACGCAGCAATGGAGAAAAAGAAGGTGAGGTTTTATTGCTGAGCAATACATGGACCCAGTTGGAATCCTTTCCAAAAGACTGGGGCCCAGAGCATTGTAGCTCTGGGGTTATATACCTGAGTACAGCATCACAGATCATGACATAATCAAATACAATCGCAAACGCCAGTAAAAATAAACTAATGAGCGCATTCAGCCAGGCTCCTGACCGTGTAAAGAGTTCTGTTACCAACCTCTGCTTTTTCAGTCTCAACATGCAGTCCGACCTTTCCCCCAGATTTAACGGTGCAGAAAAAAACCTTAAGGCAAGGAGGAACTTCTTAACTGTACTCCCCTGCAGCATCTGTTCACTTAAGGACATTGTGGTTAGCACTTTCCTGTTTTGTGTACAGACTTAGTCTGGACAAGAGGGGGGAGAGATGTACCAGCATCTCCTGATTTATCGCTTCCTCTTTTATAGAGAGCAAGAAAGTACTGGGGCAGAGTTCACTCCTGGAAACTTGCAAATTTCAGGCAATTTTGCTGTTAAGCTAAGCTGAAGCACGTGAACGTAAGCAGGTACTCGCTTGGTGTTAAATAAGGATCAGGCAGACTCAGCAATGGAGAATAAGAAGGTAAGGTTTATTGCCAGGCAATAAGGACCCAGTTTGGAATCTCTTCCAAAAGGAACTGGGACCCCGATTGACAGAAATCCAGAGGTCTTTATACCTGAGCAGATCACAGCAAATCATAGATCATGAGACAACCATGAGGGACTCACGATATTGTCAGCGAAATTAGCCAATTAGCAAGCTCCTTGCCACGCTACCAGCTCCTGGTCAAGCACTGGTCAAGCACGGAGTTCCAGTTCTGCTTTCCGTTGCTTGCAGTGATGCTCTGTCTAACCTCTCCCCTAGTTATGACAGGACAGGGAGTTTGGATATTCTGTGGTTTTGCTCTTCCTGTTCTGTGGATTAATTTAGCCTGTATCTGAGGGGATTTGTACCAGTATCTCTGATTCACATCTTCCCCTTGTCCAGGGTACACGGATGTTTGTAGGGGAAAGGTCGGCTCCTAACTTTGCTGTTTCAAGCAGTTTGCAGTTAGCTAAGGCACAGCTTCCCTTTGATTCAAAATGGATTTTAAAATACTGTAAGCCCTGATTATGTGTGAGCATATATGAATATATTGATTACTGATAACTGATTATATGGATAGCATAGGGGTAGCCCTTCTTCCTTGCCTCAAAGCAAAAGCTTTTATGATTCAAATGGATTATAAAATCACTGTAAAACTTTGGTTATGTGTGAATATATGTGAATATATTGATAACTGATAACTGATTACAGGGATAACTGATTATATGAATAGCATAAGGGTAAAATTCCTCCAGATCCTGCTTCAAAACAAAGTGAGAAAAATTTAGAGACAAGGTTGGAGCAGATGGATAAAAAATTTGATGTGACAGTTAATGAACTGAAAGGACAAATGAAGGATATGACAAAGAGAACACAAAGCTTAGAAGAGGGAATGAAAAGAACAAAATTGGAGGTGAGGGAGGTGAAGAGGCAGGAAGAAAGAATGAAGGCAGAGGTTTCTGAAATTAATAAAATGCAAGAAGAACTTTGGGACACGATTGCTATGAATGATTTGAGGCAAAGAGAGATGAATTTGAGATTGAGATCGCTGCCTGAAGTACAAGGAGAAATTGATATTGGAGATTGCTCAATGGTTAGGTATGGAAGTGGAAGAAGTCAGGAAAACAATCCAAAATGAGTTTAGAATTAAGACAAGATCTGTTAAAGCAAAGAAATTTCCAGGGGACTGCCTAATTATTTTGAAAGATAGAGAAATGAAGAATTTGATATTACAAAAAAACAGAGAAAAAAGATTGAGTATTGATGGAGCTTTTATAATCATTTTTAAGGACATTTCACTTCGTTTATTGAAAAATTAGGTTCTTACAAACCATTGACACAGACTTTGAGGAAAAATGAAATTGAATTCAAATGGGAATTCCCGGATGATGTATAGATGGTATTTGACTCCTGTAAAATTAGCAAAGATGTATCATAATGGTGATAATACATGTTGGAAATGTAAAGAAAAGGAAGGAACATTCTTTCATATGTGGTGGACCTGCCCCAAGGTGAAAGACTTCTGGGAAAAGATTTATAACGAATTGAAAAAAATGTTGAAATATACATATACAATGTTAACATCACCGGAGGGCTTTCAACGCCGTCGGGGAGTATCACTACATAGTCTCTTCAGCAAGTAAGATGGCGGTTCAAGCCAGATAGGATTTCATCGCCCTCCTCCCCTCAACGTTTCATCTGCCATGGTCGTTGTAAGTAATGCCGCTGTAAAAATCTATTTTATCTATCCCCCTCTATCTCTGACCGCTAGATCGTGAACTGTCGGAAAGTCTGGCACGCAGTGGACCACAGCCACTTCTAATTAATTAACTAGACGTGGAGCTTCTGGGGAGAGCATTATTTAACGAGAGGAGTGCTAATTCCAGCTTGTCTAACTGGGACTAAGCAGTGCTATCTTCACATCCACATATCCCACATAGCTCCATATACTCTACGGAGATGGTGCTCACCAGACAGAAATGTAAAGTTCTGGGGATCTCCCCAACGCAGAGGGTTGAATCACCATCAGTAACCTCGCAGACGAAAATTTCGCATTATTTTAAGCCTAAAACAAAAACGCCCATAGGCTCCGAGTCCCCACTTCTCCACGATTGGTCTATTGACCGAACATGGTATGGGAAGGAACCTGATATTGGTGAGGAGAGAGAGGGGATCAGTCTGGCAATGGAGATGGCTCAGATAGTCTCCCAATCTAGTGCTACCAACACTCCCGTAGAACATGATCAAGAACGAAATTTGAAACGCCTGGAAGTCACACTAGATGGATCAGTCAATGCAGCCAGCCCCAGCGAAAAGGCTAG